AACATTGCTGCGGAGTGATGCGAGGGAGTGAGAGAGAATACCATGTCTTCTCTCTCACACTCACGGGTGATCGTGGAACTTGATCCCGCCTCCTTCTGGCTCGAAGGGGAATCACTCACACTCGAGCGCGACAGCCACACCGACGTATTGCCGCTTAACGCGACAGCGTCATTGGCTGTCCTGTTGACCGCAGTATCTCCAGAGGGGTGATTCGGCTCCAAAAGTGGTAAAGGACTTTTTGGTTCAGACTCGCCCCCTGTACATGCCGGTTCAGTATCGGCATGTACTTCTGGGACACCCTGTATACGAAAAATGATAGAAAAGACCAAGAAACGCACTGGAAATTATGGGAAAATTTGTCGAGTGGCTGAGTTGTGCTTTTTGAGGGAAACTATTTACTTCCTGATCTACTAACTGGAGATTTGTGATGATTAATTATAGTTGAGAATTATAAATCCCTCGAAAACAAGTAATTATAAAGTACTTGGAGTATTTGCCAGAAGTACCAAGCCAAATGACAGCAAGGGGCAGTGATTTGATGTGTAATAACTCCTGATGAAATCTCCCACAACTAGGTTAAAATAGATTTCTTACCTTTTTGGTCCAGGTTTTCGTCTCTTCTGAGAAAGCCATCGACGAGATTTGTCTGCCCGACCGTCTCCACATGAACCCGTCTTTTCCATAATTTCACCCACACCAAAACCAGAATTCTCACAAAATTTCCGAAAATACACAAACTGTCACTACACAGATAACAATCTTATCGTGTGAATCTAATCACAAACTGATTGAATCACGTGATAAGAAACTGGAAAAAAATCGGCCATCTTTCCCGTAAATGAAAAGGCGCGAAGGACTTCTATTTGAAAACGAAAACGATTCATCAATAATCGCTTTTCTCCACGGAAAAATGTTGGTGAACATACTCACCTGATATTTTCTATTTGAAACATACGTTTTCTGGAGTAGGGAACCATCCGATCACCCAACTTGGGGGTTCCCGTTGAGCTGAGAAGGCACACGCATCTGCTATCGATAGGCAGTAGCGCGCAACCGAAAACCGCGCCAAATTCAAACGAAGTCAGTCTACATTTTTGTCATCATTAATCTCTATTTCATTTTTCAACTTAATGAATGTAATTGATACATTATGAGACAATAATGGAGACGATAGTTTCATGAATGCATGCATTATTGTCTCATAATGCATCATTTATATCGTGTAGCAATAATTAAATGAGAAAAAAAAGGTGGACTGACTTCGTTTGAATTTGGTTTTCAGTTGCGTGCTACTGGGTCTCGACAACAGATGCATTGAAAGACAATAATGCAGGCATTAGTGAAACTATCGTCTACATTATTGTGTCCCAATGCATCAATCATATTCATTATGAAATAATAATGTCGACCACAGTGAATTATCTCCTAACGTATCAATTATATTATTGTTTAATTCTACATTAAGGGGAAAGGGGGAAAAACGAATGAAAGTGGAGGCATTCTATTGAGTGTGAATATTTTTGTTTTATTTTATCTCGACCTATTCATTGGCGACTAGCCTTAATAAATAAGCCGAGACC